CGACGTTTCTTGGGTATGATTAATTTTTATCGTCGGTTTATCCCTCACTGCTCAAATATTCTACAACCCCTAACGGAGGCTTTAAAAGGCAAAGCCAAAAAGTTCACATTATCCTCCGAAGCGAAAGATGCCTTTACTGCTGCTAAAACAGCAATTGCTTCTACCGCCATGCTGACCTACCTCAGTCCTGATCCAGAAGCAACACTAATTTTGTGTACAGACGCTTCTCAGGCAGCAGTAGGAGCGGTGCTACAACAAAGAGTAAATAATGAAGTCAAGCCACTTGCTTTCTTTTCAAAGAAGCCAGAACCGACCCAAACCCGATACAGCACTTTTGATAGAGAATTATTAGCTGTTTATTTAGCAGTTAAACATTTTAAACACTTGCTACAAGGTAGAGATTTCGTAATCTTCAGTGATCACAAACCTTTGACTTACGCTTTCAATGCTACAAGTGATCGTTATTCTCCTAGAGAAACTCGACAGTTAGATTACATTTCTCAATTTTCTACCAACATACAGTTCATAAAAGGTGAGTCAAATGTTGTGGCAGATACTTTGTCACGTTTCAACGTTGATGCTATTTGCTCCATTAAAGGAATTGATTTGTTGGACATTACACGCTTACAGGTTGATGATTCTGATCTTGCGGCTTGTAAACAAAATTCGAGTCTAGTATTAAAAAGTATTCCAATACCACATTCTGATTCTACTATAATTTGTGATACTTCAACTGGAATACACAGGCCATTTGTGCCAATAGCGTACAGGAAAACAGTTTTTGATTGTCTTCATTCATTATCTCACCCAGGGGTTCGAGCTACTGTGAGACTGATCGGAGAAAGATTTGTCTGGCCAAAAATGAGCTCGAACATAAAGGAATGGACCAGAAATTGTTTGCAATGCCAGCGTAGCAAAGGTCACAGACATACGATTACAACACCGTCAACATTCAATCTACCTGACCGTCGTTTTCAGCATGTCCACGTTGATTTAGTTGATCCTTTAGCCCCATCTAACGGATTTACTTACATCTTTACTGCAGTTGACCGTTTTACCAGATGGCCAATAGCATGTCCAATAAAAGACATCTCAACAGAAAATATTGCTGCCGTGTTTCTTGACAGATGGATTTCTAATTTCGGTGTACCTTCTACCGTTACTTCCGACAGAGGTTCACAATTCCAATCGCACCTCTTCAACGAATTTACGCGCATCTTGGGAATCCATCACATCACTACAACTGCATACCATCCAGCTGCAAATGGACTAGTGGAACGATTCCACAGACAACTTTAAAGCTCATTGATGGTACAGCCTGATGTAACTAGATGGAGTGAATTTCTACCTCTCATGTTATTGAGCATCCGCTCGACAATTAAGGAAGATCTACAATGTACACCTGCTCAGCTAGTTTATGGAACTAATTTAACCTTACCTGGTCAACTAGTCACGTTTAAAGGCACATCTGTATGTACAGACCCCTCCTCCTTTTGCGAAAGACTAATGAGTCACATGAGTAGCATTAAGCCTGTTGCACCTTGACCAGCTTTCTTAAAAGAGCAAATTAGCAAGCACCTAAACACATGTAAATTTGTGTTTGTCCGTGTCGATTCAGTAAGACGTCCTTTACAACACCCTTATGAAGTAGTAGACAGGCAAGCAAAATATTTCACAATCAAGAAGAATGGAAAAAAGGAAACAGTTGCAATTGACAGGTTAAAGCCCGCTTTCATAGAGTCTGAAACACATGACAGTCGAAAGCCGTCTAAAGGCAACACCAATTGCACAACACAGCTTCCTGCGTTTCCAGATAATTCTTCATCTACTTCTGTGAAATCGCCAACTCATACAATGTGTGATGCTAATGTTATAGCTCCTACAAACTTAGTTCCTAATTCCACTACTTTACCTATTTTAAAAACTACTCGTACAGGAAGACAGGTACATATTCCTAAACGTTATGTTGAATTCATTACTTAATCTTCCTTCGGTCATATTCTGTAATGTGAGTAAATACCTATATGTTAAGAGTTACTCACGACATATTTTTAACTATAAGTGTATGCGTTTTACACGATGCTCATTATTAACTGTAACGATACCCAACTTCGTTGTATTTGTTCATATTATAATCGATCGTTTACATTGATATATACAGATATTAAAAAATTTTCCGGTAATATATCAATTTAATTAACGTCATTATTAATAACACTACTATTTTTATTACACGTTCAATTATGTTTGTTAAATTTTCTATATATATATATAGTGACACTTATATCTAGCGATTTTTTTGTAACAACAAATTAAAGATCACATATTTTTCCTATTTGTCACACTTTTTATGTAACCACACTTATATTCGATATCTATTGTTTTTCTGTATCAATGGTAAAGAAACGAATACTTTTGTTTGGTTATATATAACACTACTTCACTACCGCGATTCTTAAAATATAAACGCTGTATCCGCCGTCTATTCTCCTGCTTTAACGGCCACGGCCTTTGATTGAAGATTATAATAGTATTATAACATCCTTTTAGGCCATTCCTCACTACGTTGGAGCTTTGGCCCGGATCATTACTGAGTAATACTATTGGATCTAATCTTCTTCATTCTGCTGTTGGTGCCATCACGTGCAGAGGAACCTTTGTTAACCAAGTGAACTTATTTGTGGTTGTTATCTCAGAAAGCAGCTTACAAGTAACATTCATTTTATAAAACTGTTACCATTTTGTTGCTCAATATACCTTTTTATAATTTAACTGTTTGTAGTGTCAATTCTTTTGGTATATTGTTGGTAACCTTGCGTATTGTTATATTGTAACTAAGCTATTATTGCTGAGGTCCACCACAAGTTGTACATTTTGTTAGTCCTTTCGATGCTATTTAAGATGGTAATGTTTTATTTCATTATCGTTTTCTCATTTTTCTTCCGTCTTCACTGTGTTCCTATGTTTCTTCCTGAACTTTATGTTGCTTTAGTTGATACTTATTCCTGCGGCAGCCATATTGACTATTTCGTATTTGATTGTGCTGCTTGAGTTGACCGGGATTGTGAATTGAAGCACTTTTCCAGATTCGGAAACATTTTGTGTTATAAAGCATCAAACTATTATCTTTTGAACGGATTTATACTTGATCTATCCATAAAGTATAGAATAACGCTTATTTTTGATGCGTTCGATCGATTATTTAGGGAACAATTATTGGTTGAATAATTGAGCGGTAATATTTGTATAGAACCGTTATTTTCAGTCCCCTTGTTTTGATTTCAACTTGGCGATAACGAGTGATCAAACTACTCAGACAGTTATTCTTTAGCCAAACCCTAGTTTGCATCTTACAACGCCGACGATAAAGATCAGTTCTACTAGCGGCTGCAATCGATCATAGCCAAGTGCTCAAGAAAGGACTTCACCATCCTGATGGGAGATCTAAACGCCAAAGTTGGAGTGGACAACACAGGATATGAAGATATAATTGAACGACATGGACTAGGATAGAGAGATGAAAATGGGGAGAGATTCGTAACTCTATGTGCATTCAACAACCTGGTTACAGGTGGCACAATGTTTCCACACAAACGCATACACAAAGCTACATGGATCTCACCGGACCAGATAAATCACACCTGTATCAACAAAAAATTCCGAAGGACAATGGAAGATGTGAGAACCAGAAGACTGACATAGCTTCAGATTGTTGTAGCCAAGATGAGACTGAAGCAAAAGAAACCCTAGACAAACAGCGTTACAAAGGTTCAATACAGCCTTCCTCCGAGATACTGACAAGCTCAACGAATTCAAGATAACTCTCAACACCAGGTTCCAAGCTTTACAGGATCTACTGGAAGAACAAGAAACTACGATGGAGGACAACTGGAAAGGGATAAAAGAGGCACTAACTTCAACTTGTCGGGAGATTCTGGGTCCTAAGAAGCATCATCATAAGGAATGGATCTCTATGAGAACCCTGGACAAGATTGAAGAAAGAAAGAACAAGAAGACATCAATTAGAAACAGTCGAACATGTGCAGACTATGCAGAAGCAAACAAGAAAGTGAAGAAAAGCATTAAGACCGACAAGCAGAAATACATTGGAGAACTAGTAACGACGGCGGAAAAAGCTGCAAGAGAAGGGAATATGAGACAACTATATGATACGAAGAAATTGACAGGGAGATATAACAAACCGGAGAGACCAGTAGAGGACAAAGAAGGAAAGACAATCACTGAGATTCAAGAACAGAGGAAAAGATGGGCAGAATACTTTGAGGAACTGCTGAATAGACCAGCCCCATTGAATCCACCGGACATCGAAGCAGCACACAATGACCTTCCGATATATGTCACTTCACCAACGATCGAAGAAGTTAATCAGAACTTCAAGTATGTACTTGTAGTGTTTTGTTTCGATCAGTGGCTTTTTCTTCCTATGCCTATTAGTCGCAAATCTGTGACTAGAACATTTTCGAACTCGAATGGCATTTGGTAGAAAGTGTGAATAGAATATTTCAAGACAACTTTGGAGACAGAAACTTAAACAAAATATTAGGAAAAGTATCATGGAGCATTATTCATAAAATTCATTGTCATATTGTTGGTAAGCATTCTAAAGCGCCATTATTATGAGCTGTTTAATATTTAGTATATGAAACACAAAAACCCTACTTATCTTTCCTACAATTTCATTCCAACATAGTAGTAAAAATTACATTTATTAAATTGGTCCGGATCGAGATATATTTTTTATTTTAATGCACTGTAGGGTGCTATCCTTAACATAGCACCGGATGTCATTGGTTATGTGCTTGCCAAAATATGGGAGACTCATACCAACCTATGATAACTATACATCTGTGATAGTGATCAAACATAAGGACGTTTTAACGTTAAGGGTACAAGTTCAGACATGATTGGTGACTTGTGAAGAATTGATTATTTTTGAGATGAAATAGAAAGACATGTATCATTTGAAAAAAAAACAAAGTCCTCCAGAAAATAATTTGCAATTTTACTATAAATACATGGATTATATAACACTATTAAGGTATGAAAGATCACAGTCTGAAACATGGAGGTTTATAAATGTATAACCTGAAGGAATGTTAACACAATAAAAGATAGTTCAGTGTTTTTGTTGAACAAGAGTTGAAAGATACTTCACATGAGCCATCACTTCTGCCTAAAGAAACATAATTAGAGATAATGAGTTAAGAATAAGCTGGAAATAAATGTATTACAAATAAAACGATTGAAAATATACATTATTTACTAAGTAAAGCGGTATTTGTGCATATATAACCGTTACATACCTAACTGATACGTAAATTCACAGCGATCTTAAGTTGACAACTTAATACTCAAATAGAAAATTGATTAATGCATTTACTATAGAATTTCTGTGCATCAAGATCACATATTAACTACCTATGAATTAGCATTTATTCATCACGATGCAACATATACATCGTTATACACACTAACAATTATTTTTGAAAAATTGGGAAAATCCAAAAATAAATACTTCATCCACTCGATGCTGACGTATATACTGTTAAAAGGTTCACAATTCTTAATCACCAAGACTATATACACTGGACTTTATTTGTTAAAAGTCACTACGATCTGTATTCTGAAAAGTGAAATCCATGTAATGAAAAAGCAAAACTTTTGAAATTCAAAAACCAAATAATCTACCCATTATGGATAAGTGAAGCATTTTGTTACCGAAGTGTTCATCTCAGCCACCGTAGTCAAATTTAAACTCCTTTTAAAACCCTACTAGGGTTACAACTAGTTTCAAGCCCGGAGGAAGGAGGGTTAGGGATGGGGTTAAAAACCACATCCCGTAAAGAAGAACCTTGACAATAAAATTCTCCAAAACCCCTCTTCTGATAACAAGAGCGACAATTAATGTAGCTACATGGAATGTCCGGACAGTGTAAGAATCCGAGAGAGTTGTTCAAAATCCGGCAAAAATTAGAAGATACAACTTGGCTCCGCTTGTAATAGGTGAAACACATTGAACAGAAGCTGAAAATGAGAGAATAGCTTAGGGAGAATCGTTATTCTGCACTGATCATGAAGAAAATGCACCCCACCATACATAAGGAGTTACAATGACCCTCGCCAAAGAGGCGAGAAAGGCACTTATACGATGGGAACGTTATGGTTAATTGATCACCAAAGGATCCTTCTAAATAAAGAAGGGATTGGAATGAATGTCATCCAGTGCTACGCACCCACCATTGATGAGGATATTAAAGACTAGATTGATACTCCGGTATATCATAAACAAATTCCCAGGAAATCAACTGACCACCCTGATGGAGGAAATGAACTCCAAGGTCGGATTGGAAAAAAGAAATGAGAATTGTGAGAGATTGATAAATCTATGTGCTTTCAACAGAGTGATTATGGGCGGGGCTATTATCCCCTACAAACCCATACATAGAGCTACATTGGTTTCATCAGGCTGCACCACAGAGGAGTGGGTCGACCACATCTGCATGAAAAAGTATGGGAAGTCTATGAAAGATCTACGAACAAAGTGAGGAGCTGATACAGCATCAGATCATCACCTGGTAGCGGTGAAGAGAAAACATTGGGAAAGGAGTAAACAGCGATAACTTCAACATGCAAGATGCCAAGCCACGAAAAGCCCCAGAATAAGAAGTGGAATTCCATCAACAACCCGGGTAAAACTCAAGAAAAACAAGAGAGCAGACAGCAACAGCCGAGAAAGAGCGGAGAAGTTAAGACATAGACCCAATATATAGAAGTAAAGAAACAAGTGAAAAAGAGAATTGGATTAGTTGAAAGCGTGAGTCAATTGAAGCTAGACCACCATGGAAAACCTGGACGACCGTTTCGTCCTATTAAGGGACTCCTCAGCAGTGAGCACCCACGATCCCGCACTCCTGAGATTCGAACCCAGGACCTATCAGCCTCGAGCCAGAGCCCTTAACCGATAGACCACTGAGCCGGCATCTAACAGTGTTAGTGTCCAGGGCTTCCACGTTTTCCATGGTGGTCTAGCTTCAATTGACTCACGCTTTCAACTATGAAAATACTAAATCTCCATAAAACACCTGAGAATTGGATTAGGCAAGCAGAAATATGTAGAAAACCTCGCAACGACGGTAGAGCTGCAAGAAGACGAAATATGAGAGAAACATATAGCACGACGAAGCTTGCGGGCAAGTATTGTGAATCAGAGAGACAAGTCATGAACAAGGAAGACAAACCAATCACTGGGATTCAGGAGCAGCGAGATGGGTGGGTAGGATATCGAGCTCTTGAATAGATTAGCTCCACTGGATATTACAGCAGCAAAAACATCTCTCTACGGATGTTATCCCACTAACAATGAGAGAAATCAAGGCAACTAGACAAATCAAGAATGGTAAAGCAACAGAACCAGACAGCTGAAGTCAGATAATACAGGTTACGAGTATCTTCTACTCTTAATAGCCATGTTTCACAGCCTTAAAGTGAAACAGAACGGACTGCTGCGCAGTATACTCGTCCCTTAATTGATAGACAGATATCTCGTTTTCGCCGTAGGTGACGTAAGTTGGCAAATGCCAAACGAGCTTACTGAATCCGTGCTGAGATTTCGTCAGACACTAACCCATTAGGGCTGATTAGACTTCCAAGATAAGTGAAGTTGTCGACGCGTTCGACTACTTCGCTCCCTATCCTTAGTTCAGGTGTTGACGCAGGCCAATCCTGGAGTAACAGTTTACATTTAGATGGGAAGAAACGCATCCCAAACATCCTTGCATTGTTGCTCAATGCTATCAAAAGACCCTACATTTTATCAGCCTCTTCACCAAACAGGAATATGTCATCTGTGTATTCTAAGTCAATAAGTGGAACTCCTGGAAGGAGACCAATGCCCAAATATTCGGAAGACGAGAATGTTATTTTCAGTCGTAGGTCTATGATGAAGCTAGACAAAAATGGGGATAGTGGACAACCTTGTCGGACACCATTTGAGGTTGTAAAATCAGATGACAGTTCGCCATAAGCTTTCACTCGACTGGTGATGTTCGAGTAAAGAGCCTTCACAAGGCTTATGTACTTCCGAAATACACCTTTCAATGACAGACACTGCCACAGAATCTCTCGATCTACAGAGTCAAATGCTGCTTTTAAGTCAAGAAAAACTATCATTGCCGGACGCCAATAAACATGTCTGTGCTCTAAAACTTGACGAATAGTGAATATGTGGTCGATGTAGCCACGACCAGGTCTGAAGCCAGCCTGATTTTCTCGTGTTTGCGGTTCAGGAGTCTTGGTTAGGCGCCCGATAATTATTGAGGCAAGTATTTTAGATGTTATATCGGTCAGACTAATCCCTCTATGGTTATTACAGGATGATTTTGACGCCTTCTTATATATTGTAACAATCAGTGATTGTGACCAGCCATATGGGATTACGTCCAACTCCCAGATTTTAGCCAGAATATTAGTCAACCTAATCGCTAAAATCGGACCACCATATTTAAAGACCTCTGGAGCCAATCCAGCAGGACCAACTGCTCTTCCTCGTTTCAGATTACCTATAGCCTTTTGAACTTCATATAGGGTCGGGGGGCCTACTTCAATGTTCCATTCAGGTTTTCTAGGAATAGTGGGTAGTTGTGCAGTAGCTGAAGGCCAGCTAAACTGCTCCTTAAAGTGTTCCGCCCATCGTTCTAGACGTTTGGGTTGAGAGCAGATAAGGGTTCCGTCTATTTCGGAGATTGTCTCACTTACACTTGACTTCTTAATTCCGGTTTCTTTTATTAGTCTGAATAGTTGCCTGGTGTTGCCTACAGCCGCTGCCGTTTCCATCTCTTTTGCTTCGGTTGCTCACCACAGCTCACGATCGTTCCTTAGACTTCCCGTTAACCTAGATCTAATTTGTTTTTGCTCTACATCGTGTTCGGAGCCAGATAATATGAGTTTATGGGAATCTATCAGTGCAATAGACTTAACGAAGATCCATTGGTTTTTTGGAACCCTTTGGTTTAAATCACTGACAGATGTTACTGCTGTTTCCACATCGGTTTGCATATCTTTCCGAGTAACATCTGGGCCAGTCTTGTTTACAGAACTGCATAAATGTGAACTCGGTTGTTCCTAGAACTTACTTTTGACTTTCTTGTCACTCAGTTCAATTCTAATGGGTCTTCTTAGTATAGTTTTTCTGCGTCCGATGAGGCGCAAACAAATGCGTGCTCGTATTGAAGCGTGATCAGAGTCTGAACATGTATTTCAGTACGAGCGACAATCTTCTATCGAGTCTCTCCAACGATGACTGATGACAATATGGTCTATTTGAGTCCATCGTTGGTTTGGTGAAGATGGTCGCCATGTTAGACAATGTCTCTCCTTATGCTTAAAGTCAGTGTTTGCTAAAAATAAACGATTGTCTGAGCATAGTTGCAACAGACGATCACCATTATCTGTTCGCTGAGCCTGAATACTAAAATACCCAACTAAATGTCTTTCTGTTTGATTTAAGCTGCCTAATTGGACATTAAAGTCACCCACTACGAGAACTAGGTCCGAGCGCTTAGCTTTCTGAAGAAGCTCAGAGAGCTTTCTGTACAAGTCATCTTTCAATTCATCATGGCTGCAGTCAGTGGGAGCATAGGCAGAAATGACGAAAAGGCAACGTCGTAAGTGCCTATCCTACCGAGTTCTTACGGAGTCATTTAGCCGGACAGCACACAGGCGACTGTTAACGGGGATCCATTCTAGTAGTACCTGTTCTGCTCTTGTACTTAGTGCTATGCCTACACCTGCAAGTCCACGAGAACTAGCCAACGGGTCGCCAGATACACGGAGGGTGTATTTCGTCGGCTGTCTATTTTGGCGAGGTGAGGTCAAGTGAATGATCACACTAGGATCCTGTATGCGTGTTTCCGAGACACAGCATACACCAATCGTACGAGATTCTAGGGTTTCAACGAAGGAGGGCTGTTGACCGACTTGGCATAGGGTACGTACGTTGAAGGCTCCAATGTGTAGTTTGGAGCGAGGTTTTAGTAGACCTGGGACAGCGTTTCGCGCACTAGAATCGTCGACCATGGTGACACTTGAGGAGGAAACCTGAACAGGAAGTTTAGTTTTGAAAGTCAAGGTAGAAGGAATAGTAGGAAATGAAGGAGATTGATTATGAATACAGTGGTCTTGAGTGCTGTTAGAGGTATGAGGGCAGTTATCACTTCCCGGTTGCCCACACCGTGGAAGGGTTCTTCTAGGGGTACCTGAAAAGAAAATTGGGTTAGAAGTGGTCTTAATGACCTGAGAGCGTGACTGCAGTGCCCAAGGGACAACTGCTTGAGGTCGGTCACACACGACCTTCTTGTGGGTAGTTTTTGTGTTAGCTCCGTTCTTCAATGGACCTTACCGCCGGAGACGGATATCCGTGGGATAAGGCGAGGTGTGCATTTTTAGGGTCGACCTTTTCTAACCCCACCCCTCCTTGTGGGAAGGCAGCATCGCTGTCATGCTGGTTGTCTGAAGGAAACACCTTATTGCTGTCACACCTCTGTACAGTCAGCAGTACGACATCGCCTTCGGACCTTGGGTTTTTTCGTAAAAGTGAACGTAGTTTCTTCCACTGAAAGAATTCTTTCTAGTTGTATTTTTATCAACTGAACTGCTCCTTACATTATTATTATTATTTCACTATCATACACTAAGTTCTGTTCGTTATTGTTCCCTTTTTCTTATACATATCTTACATTCTTTATCTCTTCACATTCTCGCATATGTGTAACTGGTGCTTATTTGTATCAATATTTATGTGTTCAAAAAAGTGTAGCATTAAAACTAAAAATTTGGCAAGCAAACGTTAAAGTGTCCTGGGATCAATAAATCATTTGGATATATTAATCTTTCTCACAGATTTACAAAGTTTATGATTAACATTATTGAATTCAAAAAGTAAAAAATCCATTAAAATTTAATTTCGTTAAGTTAACACATTAATTTTTAAACAGTAAATAATCCTTTGGAGATTAAGAATTAAACAAACTATTCCGATTATGTATTGCGAACATTAAGTAAATGAGAGACACTAGAATTGAGTGAGCAAATCGAATAATCTATAGATAGATATGTTTATACTAAGTTAACCATTTTATGAAGTGGCTGCAGTATTTTTATTTTATCATATACGATGGTGTTTTCAGGAGTATATGAAGAAAAATGCCCGATTAATATGTCAAATCTTTAAAGTTAATGAAAAGAGGAAGTGAATAGCGACTACTGAGAAGTGTTGGACAAAAAAATTGAGCGAAATTTAATTCTGTTAAAATAGATCGAAGTCCGCTTTGTTTGTCGTTTCTGACATCGTGACAGAATTTCCGGCACATTTATGACATTTTTCAGTACCTAAACTAATCTTCAACTAGCTTTTGCGTTTTCCAAGCTTGCTTAGTGGTCATCCCTCAAACGGCCGAGGTTGGGGAGAATCCACTCTCCCTTTAGAGATGCTCTCTTATGGCCACTCGTAAACAACCACTCGCACGGAATTCCTACTTACAGCCTTTTCGCGGTGTAGTTGTTTATGAAATTGAGAGGACGAAAAGCGAATGTCCGGCGATTGAACCGGGGTGATGGATTCAGAGAATCCACCTAGGGGAGTTGGAAAACCCTGATTCCAAATCAATGGTGCACGTGGGCTCCAGGATCCTCAGGGAACAAATGAAGCACGAACATATTGTTGGTCGCCGGTTACCATGGGACTGTATCTCCTGAAGTTGCTCCACTACCTTGTGGACCAGACCTGTAGGTCAAAGGCTCAGGAGGTGGCCCCAAAGAAAACAACTTGTTTCAGTTTGAACACCCAGAGAATATCCAAGCACTCACACAAATCGAATGACGAAGTGTCATGCATATATATTTAGTGTATCCTTGTACCTATGTTTATATAAATAAATAAATTGACCCAATTTCCCCAGAATGTTTCGTAATGATAACGGAGTTCCAGTGCCATTGAGCTACCCCGTACAGCAAATGTAGTGATAAATAGCTGAGAATAAATTTTGAGGGACTTATTGAACAGCTTTCTGTTGAGTCGGCTTCCGACAACTACAGCGGAGCCTCCAAAGGCCCAAAGGAGTCAAAGAGTTTCCATCCAATCAGAACATGACAGAACTTTCTAGAATATCAAAGTGACATGCTACTATTGGACAGTAGCCTAATGTCTCTTTGCGGATTGGCCAAATCATAATGTTGAGTTAAAAAAATGATAATATCTATAAATACCCGTGATTTTCTGTACAGTTCGATTCTTACCAATTAAAAACTTCTCCAGATTTTCTTCTGTCTTTTGGTTTGTGATGGTTCAACGTCCGAGTGTCGTCGTTGTACACTGTATTATGCGTTATTCAAGTAGCGAACTTAATACTTTCGAAACCTTATTCTTTGAAACGCTGAAATAGTTAATACCGGTCGAAAAGTCAAAAGTAAAGTAAAATGTATCACTAACATACCTTTGTTCTTGTTGGAATACATTCTGTGATCCGATCCCACCTCTCAGGTGTCCCTTTACCAATAGAGCGAATAGCGACCTCCAACTGTTGTTGTTCTACTTTAGTCCATCCATCATTACTTTTGACAGGTTTAATTTCTACAGATTTAAATGTTGCTTGATCTTTCTGTTGTTTAAGTTTTTTTCGACTAATATATGGTTCATCAACTATAATAACGTCTGTAATTAATAATAAATCAATACAACCAACAAAATTAGCTATATAAAAGTAGATACAATTCACAGATAAGTCCCGTTTTTTAGAAAAATGGATTAGTATCTAAAATCACATAAGCATTTAAGATATTAAATTTACATCAGATTAAAGAGAAATAAATAAAAATTGGAAAACAATATATTTGAATAACGAAACACCAAATATGTACAAACCCAATCATGTGTAAAAGCTATTCGTACACAAGATATTAAGCAGGTAATAATAATAATGGTAGCACAGAACGTAAATACTACAATAATGGCGTATATTGGCTAAATAAGAGAATCTTAAGGTAACTCACTGCAGCCTAGTTAATAACGAAATGTATAAAGAGATGCGTGATGATTCTGAACCTTAGAATGAACAATATAAATCACCAAAGTTCAAGTTTATCTAGTTAACAAGTTCAAGATAAAACGAAATACATGTTATGAGTTTCACTGAAAGTCACTATCAACTGACAGGAAGAAATGTAAAGCTAACCAATAAAACATAGACATGATGAATCAAGCTGGCTAGTGATTAATTCCACACAGAACAGAACTTGAAGATTGTACGCATTCAGAGTGATCACTGTTGACAGAAATTCATACTCTACAAAAATGGTTATTTAGCGACCTTTTTGTTATTGCCCGTAGTTCCACATATGATACTGGTACGGGTTTCATTTGGAAAGTACATAAAAATGTTGACTAATTTTTTTTAGAAAGATCTTTGTCAATCGTTACATATTACCAATTGATTGATAAAAAAAATCGTGTTTCAAAACTAAGGTGATCAAATGACTACTTAACTTGTGTATGCTAAAAACTTACCTGAAGACAAATCATTATTCACATTCAGCTGAGTTTCTCCATTTGTTTGATTGACAACGCAAGGTTCTTTTCGTCTTAATAAACGTTTACGAAGTCGTTTCCTTGAATGTTGTTCTTCACCTGATTCGTCTGATTGACTATTACTTTGTTCAGAATCAGTTTCTCCACAAAAATTATTTACATTTGTTTCAAAGATTGGAATTTCATCAGGATTTATATCTAAATAATACCGCAATAAGTAGAAAGAAATTATTCAATGATTAAGACATTCGGGACACATTGAGGAGAAATTCCATACATTTAGAGTTAAAAAAAGATGTTTCAGTGTAACTGGTAAAAGTAGAAGTAGATAGAAAAAACACTCTAAACAAAAAGTTCGAGTACTTCCTGAATTTATTTTTGAAAAGTATTTTTTGGTGTAACCATGTAGAATACCACAAGGAATAATCAATGTGAAAGCACTAAACTGTTATATTAAATCTGTGAATAACACTGTATACATGAGACATGGGGTTGATGTGGGAAGTTTAGACGATTTGTCGTGGCAGAAATGACGGAAACATTGTAGACAAACGGTAAATATACTTAAAAACCACATGAATAACACTCTTTACAACTATATCAGTTTGTAAATGTTTTTATATATACTAGAAAACAATGAAAAAGTATCTCATATACTCGCTTTATAGAGTCTTCCATAAAGTAAAAACCTCTCAACTTGATAAATGGCACAGGTAAAGAGTAGACAGCTCTATTTATGTGAGACCCCCCGATGATTTGTCATTGAAGATCACTTTATGAGAAAACAGAATCATACCCTATAACAGAAAATTTGGGTTTTCTAAATGACTTATCTAACTTCATTGATAACTTAGAAAAAGAAAAAAAACAGAACATATGGTAAATTACGGTGAAAACGGTTAATCAACCACTATTGTAGCCTCTCTCGGAGCACCGACTCAAAATCGATGTATGTGATCTATCCGAGACTCGTATTCGGAACTAGTGAAGTACTCCTGTGGTATATGCTATATATACTGACAGATATAAGTAGTAGGTAATAGCAGTCGGAAGTGGAATGCCTGCCAGCAGAAGATTGAATTGTAGTGAACAGGAAGGGAAACAGACAGCAATTGGAATAACAAATACATTATAGTAAATACATTAAAATCCATGTACGCAAGCAAATCTATAAAAGTTCTGTAATATCTTACCTAGCAAATTTACTTTGTGACGAACAGGCTGTTAGAGTTGACCTAGTAAATAACCTGTATTCTTAAGCATGTCTCGAATTCGATAATTTGTATAAACTCAGATTTTCTTAAACCTTTTATTTCTATTGTTTTTTTATTTTGGTTTTTTTGTTTTTTTTTTGGTAAAAAAACTTGTTGAAATAACTCGTGCTGAGAATTCTACATTGTACCAGATTATAATATTGAATAAAGCCATCAATAATAATAATAATAATAATAATAACAGTGTTGGAAGAACCATGAAGTACGTAAAGAACTGAAAGATGTGCAAATAATGTATTTAATGTATGATTTCCAGATTTTACGAAAACGTTAAACAACAATTTGGCTTTATCTGACTGGGTCCTCGTTCACTGCACTTAAAGTTCAGTCTCTATATGTCTTGTAATGAGTTGATAGTTGTCGAAAAGGGCTCACGTCACCTATGCAACAACTATCGGGGGATTAATCTACTTTCAACTGCGTCCAAGCTGTTGGCTACCGTCATACTTCGTAGATTGTTCGGAACCCAGGAAACCTTGACTCACAGGGAGGAGGCTAGTTTTTGTTCTATTCGAGGATGTAGTGATGATATCTCTACTTTCCGCCAAATGTTAGGACACTGTCATACTTATCATAGGACAACAGTCGTAGTGTTTCTTGATATCAAGGCTGCCTTCGATTCGTTGGACAAGACTGTTCTCTGGGATTATCTTTTGAAAAAAGGGTGTGACTAAGAAGTTTATTAACATCTTAAAAGCCCTATATACAAACACCTCAGACATACAACCACCTCTCCCCATTGTTTCATTCAGGCAGTGGAGTTAGGCAGGGTTGTCCAATCTCACCATTCCTCCTCAACCTTACCATCGATGACATTCTGGAAACAACTATGATGGATGTAGGTAATGGTGGTGTAGATCTGTTTCTTGGAGAGACTTTCCAACCTTGAGTATGCGGATGACATTGTCTTGCTGTGTGATGACACTCAAGCCATGCAATCTGCACTTAGTCATCATCCGTAGGTATGACACATACTTTGCACCCTCTAAGTGTAAACTGCTTTTATAAGACTGACAGGACCCTGTACTATTTCTTGGTAGTAAGCAGATAGTTAGTCGCGTAAGTGCCGGTGGTGGCATGAGTGAAGACATCGATCCATGTATAGTGAAGGCCAGGGAGGCTAATGCCAATCTGCGCCATCTTTGGCTCCTTCGTGGTGTTAGTCTGCTCTAAAAGGTCGGATCTACAACTCTTCGGTGAGAGCAATTTCGGTCTATGCTTGTGAAACCTGGTCTCTCCGAGTTGAGGATGTTAGATGACTTTCTGTGTTTGATTATCGTTGTCTCCGAAGGATTGCTGACATTCAGTGGCAACACCACATTAGTAATGAGGAGATTCGACGACCATATTTACAATTGATTGATCACTGGGTGGTGATGAATGTCATGTATGTCAGGTCTTTCTTAGTGCAGGTCGAATCCTATTGACCAAGTTGCAATGTGGCCAGTAGTCTAGGTGACTCGATATTACGTGCACTATGCTGAGATAAGATGGTGGTTGGAGGTACTCAAGATTGCAGGTTCACCGTGCTGAAGAATGCCAAGTCGCATGAAATCTAGGTCCAGGGTTTTCTGTTGCCTACCTTCAATCGCCATCTTATTACAACGACCATAATCCAATTAATGTCACCACCTTGAAACACCGACTTCAGTGGCTGGGACATGTACTACGAATGTCGTCATGGTGAATTCTACATAATGCATCACTTGCCGACGCTGGGACTGGTTGAAAAAGGTGAACAGATGGTCACTGTGACACGATTTCGTGGGTTGAAAGAAAAATGTACAGGGCTGGCTTCTGTTTGCTTTTCCCAGCTTCCTGATTGGAGTCCTAGAAATGGTGCAACATAAAAGCTTGAGATATCACCAGAAATGGTTCAGAATGAAAGCCAATGGAGATCCTACTGTAAATTTATTTTACTCTTTTCGTAAAAAAGAGAGTAACTTCTTGAAGTGAGAGAATTATTTCTTGTATTTTTTCTAACTGAACTGTTTCTCCCATTATTATTATCTTTTTCACTTCCCTTTATCTATCTCCTCACAACCTTATTTTTATTGTGTGTTTTATTTATATTTGGTGGCTCCTTGTACAAATGTTTCTGCTCAAATAATAATAATTGTAGCACGGCATTTAGATGGAGCACGAAACCATACTTTTGATAGATCTATGATTGAGAGTTAAGTTCAAAATACTGATCATGTTAGCGAATAACTACTAAAGTGACCTAGTGAATATATTTCTTAACGTTTGAAGTGATAGGTGTTATATTCAAGACTCATCATAAAAACTAATATAGTAGCATGCGCTACATATATCTAACTGAATGATGTATATGTCATGAATTAAAATCCCAGTAACTAAATACTAGAAGATTTGTTGGAAATGTGATTCAATGGATTAGGCAGCTAACAAGTGTCCCTAAATTCTCAAAGCATAGATGATTATTAAATTATGTTTATTGAGTTACCAGTTACATAAATAATGTTATTAACGTAAAGAGAAAAAATAACTGAGTACATGAAACGGTTCTGGCTTTATTGTAATAATACAAAGGTCTTACATGTTTGTCATATTATGCACTAATTTTTTCCCTGTAGTTTTCAGCAAATGGATAGAATAATTTCGACTCTAGATGCAAATAGCAGTATAAGTGCTCGAATACACGCAGTTTTCTTACATAAGTTAACTTGGACTATCGTTTCACAACCAAACATAATCTAGGACACAATATTATGTATCTTTTAGTAAAATAATACTTCGTTACAGCAGTCATGCAAACAGAGCCCAAAACGAAAATGAAATTCAGAACACTTGACGATAAAAAGATTTTAACCAACGAACAAACTATTGATTTCAGTAGCCTTAACTGTTATACTTGAACTTTAGAAATATGGTACATTATTTTTCAGAACTGAGTTTAAATATTAGCCATACAATTAATGTAAGTAGTGTGCTTGGTTACTTATACTCCGATCAAAAATGTAAACCCTTACTTTGCAATAGGGTTTTATAAGCAAAACAATTTCGAAAACACGAATAATTTAGTGAAGAAAAATGTTTTCAACAATAATTGGAAATAATTTTTTCATTAGACTGTTTTTACACTGTTTATTGATGCAATGAATTTCGAAAATACCACACTATAGTAAACATATAATGCCTACTTTTTTGAGAAATAGACATCAATTCTTTACTCATAGATTTCGCTTTACGAATAACATCAGGAACACTACGACCAAGAGATTCTGCGATACGTTCCCATCTTCCAGGAACACCTCCGGGATATCGAATAACCGCACGAACTAAATTATCTCTATCCGCTTCTGACCACTGAAAAATAAAGTAGGACCATATTTATGGTAAACTAACCTTTAGTGATAAATATAATATTGAAAACCATTGTTCTGTATCTTAAATTAAAATTGTCTAAACATTCGACAAAGAAAATATACAAATAATAGTAGAATAGTAAGCAGAGAGTAATCAGACATAAAGAAATACTTATATCACACTGAATTCACAATTATTGTTAAAGTTACTCGGGTGAACGACTTAATCAACTATAAAGAAATTAAACCAGTTAAATGTTATCACGGGTTGGAACTTTCGAGAATAGTTAGTTCTACGGAACAACACTCTGAATAAAATAGCTAGACAAAAGTTTTGTATGATCTATAACCTACCAACATCAAGTATTATCAATGATAATAGACGGTCTTATGATCATCAAGTTTATTATTCCACAAAACAATTCTCCAGAAACAAAAAAAGTGGGTTAGGTGAGGTAATTCTGCAGTTAAATAACTTCACTCACTCCATGACACATGATGCCAGTTGGAATTGTAGTATGATAGTAGAAGAGTCATGGAGTTCAAATTAAGATGGTATGAATCCGATATATGTATAACTTCAGCTTTGAAGTACGTTGAAAAGTATAAGATTTTCGTCGGTGGTTTAAAATCCCAGGTGACATAGTTTATAATCACGAGTTGAATCCATTGGCTGACGAACGACGATGCTAGTGGAAAATATATCTCCATTGACGTCGCACATAGCCTGTAGACTTTACAAGTTTAGGACAACGGTATATTAAAAGTCAAATTACAGTCAGTCAGCTACAGTGTAGAACCAGGCACATATATTCATCGGTCCAAGTTGCCATACCTGATTAGCACAATAAGATGAACACCGAATTGATAGTAGTTAATTTAGTGGTGGTAATATATAAAAGAAAGGTTGTATATAAGGATATAGTACAGGGAGAAAGAAAGATATGAAGTAATTTAAATCTCACGGTTTAAGGGAAGACAGGGTGTGTACACCTACACCATTGTGATCGATTCTGAGCCATCTCACACAGTCTCCAACCATTGGTTACGATAGTCACGCGGATCCCAACCAAGTAGTCTGCATCTACCAACATGTATCAGACTAGAAGTTAGTGACTTCAAACACTGATGCCATGTTTTGGTTTGGCCGCCCCTAACTCTCTTCCAACCATCCCCTACACTAGTCAGCATAGCGCGTCGTGGTAATCGGTGTTCAGGCATACGTAACACGTGGCCTAACCATCTCCGTCGATAAAGATTCATGACCTCATCGACCGATTTACCATAATTTCCTAATACCCTGCGTCTAATCTCACTATTACTTACCCGGTGATCCTAGAAGATGCGAGCAATGTTTCTAAGGCATCTGTGGTCAAATACTACAAGCTTACGAGTATCTTCTACTCTTAATGGCCACGTTTCGCAGCCGTAAAGTAGAATAGAGCGAAGTGCTGCGTAGTATACTCGTCCCTTAATTGATGAACGGATATCTCGTCTTCGTCATAGGTGACGTAAGTTGGCAAAAGCCAAACGAGCTTTTCCAATTCGTGCACAGATTTCGTCAGACACCAACCCATTAGGACTGATCAGACTTTCAAGATGAGTGATGTTGTCGATGCGCTCGACTACTTCGCTCCCTATCCTTAGTTCAGGTGTTGACGCAGGACAGTCTTGTGGGAGAAACACATTCCAAACACCCTGGCATTGTTGCTCAGTGCTACTGAAAGACTTAACATTTTCACCAAATAGGTCTATGTCATCTGCGTATTCTAAATCGATAAGTGGACCTCCTGGTAGATCAATTCAGTCGACCACAGTGTTGTTTCCAGCAACAGGTCTATGGTGAAGTTAAACAAAAATGGAGATAGTGAACAATCTTGCCGGATACCATTTGAGGTTGTAAAATCAGATGACAGTTCGCCATAAGCTTTCACTCGACTGGTGATGTTCGAGTAAAGAGCCTTCACAAGGCTTATGTACTTCCGAAATACACCTTTCAATGACAGACACTGCCACAGAATCTCTCGATCTACAGAGTCAAATGCTGCTTTCAAGTCAAGAAAAACTATCATTGCCGGACGCCAATAAACATGTCTGTGCTCTAAAACTTGACGAATAGTGAATATGTGGTCGATGTAGCCACGACCAGGTCTGAAGCCAGCCTGATTTTCTCGTGTTTGCGGTTCAGGAGTCTTGGTTAGGCGCCCGATAATTATTGAGGCAAGTATTTTAGATGTTATATCGGTCAGACTAATCCCTCTATGGTTATTACAGGATGATTTTGACGCCTTCTTATATATTGTAACAATCAGTGATTGTGACCAGCCATATGGGATTACGTCCAACTCCCAGATTTTAGCCAGAATATTAGTCAACCTAATCGCTAAAATCGGACCACCATATTTAAAGACCTCTGGAGCCAATCCAGCAGGACCAGCTGCTCTTCCTTGTTTCAGATTAGCTATAGCTTTCTGAACTTCAACTAGAGTCGGGAGACCTACTTTAATGTTCCATTCAGGCTGTTTGAGAATGGTGGGTAGTTGTAGAGTAGGTGAAGGCCAGCTAAAATGTTCTCTAAAGTGTTCCGCTCATCGTCCTAAACGTTTGGGTTGAGAGCAGAGATTGTCTCGCTTACACTTGATCTTTTAATTCCAGTTTCTTTTATTAGTCTGAAGAGTTGCATACAGCCACTACCGTTTCCATCTCTATTGCTTCGGTTGCCCACCACAACTCACGATCGTTCCTTAGACTTCCCGTTAACCTAGATCTAATTTGTTTTTGCTCTACATCGTGTTCGGAGCCAGATAATATGAGTTTATGGGAATCTATCAGTGCAATAGACTTAACGAAGATCCATTGGTTTTTTGGAACCCTTTGGTTTAAATCACTGACAGATGTTACTGCTGTTTCCACATCGGTTTGCATATCTTTCCGAGTAACATCTGGGCCAGTCTTGTTTACAGAACTGAATAAATGTGAACTCGGTTGTTCCTAGAACTTACTTTTGACTTTCTTGTCACTCAGTTCAATTCTAATGGGTCTTCTTAGTATAGTTTTTCTGCGTCCGATGAGGCGCAAACAAATGCGTGCTCGTATTGAAGCGTGATCAGAGTCTGAACATGTATTTCAGTACGAGCGACAATCTTCTATCGAGTCTCTCCAACGATGACTGATGACAATATGGTCTATTTGAGTCCATCGTTGGTTTGGTGAAGATGGTCGCCATGTTAGACAATGTCTCTCCTTATGCTTAAAGTCAGTGTTTGCTAAAAATAAACGATTGTCTGAGCATAGTTGCAACAGACGATCACCATTATCTGTTCTCTGAGCCTGAATACTAAAATACCCAACTAAATGTCTTTCTGTTTGATTTAAGCTGCCTAATTGGACATTAAAGTCACCCACTACGAGAACTAGGTCTGAGCGCTTAGCTTTCTGAAGAAGCTCAGAGAGCTTTCTGTAAAAGTCATCTTTCACTTCACCCGGGTTACAGTCAGTGGGAGCGTAGACAGGAACGACAAAAAGGCAATGACGTTTGTCCCTATCTCTCCGAGTTCTTATGGTGCAATTAAGCTGGACAGCACACAGGCAACTGTTAACAGGGATCCATTCTAATAGTGCTTGTTCTGCCCTCGTACTACACTAGGACCCTATATGCGTTTCGGAGACACAGCATACATCAATCGTACGAGATTCTAGGGTTTCAAAGAAGGAGGCCTGTTGACCGATTTGAAATAAGGTACGTACGTTGAAGGCTCCAATGTGTAGTTTGGAGCGAGGTTTAAGTAGCCCTGGCACAGTGTTTTGCGCACCAAAACAGTTGGACATGGTGACACTTGAGGAGGAAGCCGAAAGAGGAAGTTTAGAGTTGAGTGTCGAGGTGTGAGGAATAATAGGAATTGAAGACGGAGATCGTTTATGAGTACAGTGATCTTGAGTGCCGTTATAGATATGAGGGCAGTTATCACTTCCCGGTTGCCCGCACCGTGGAAGAGTTCTTCTACAGGTGACTTCCGTATACGTACAAGTCAGGCATTCATATGAACAGACAAACGGAGTGTGAATAAGCATACGCAATGTGGAGGAGCAATTACTAGCCAACTCGCAACAGTAAAATGTGAGCCATAATGTGTAGCGAAAATAGACAACGTAATAAGTTAGGAGAGATATACTCACAGACGTGCAAGGTCACAGAATACTTGGCCAGATAAGAATAGCACAGCAAATAAGTTACATAGGGGTATGATGAGAAGTGCTACAAACTTAATAAGGATTATAATAATCTTAATCTATTTCTGACTTGGATATGTGCTAGGAGAATCATTATTCTAGTGATATTAATGCGACATAGTCCTAATATATGTTTACATTACTGTCATCTTTATTTTTGCTTTGGCTGTCACAAAATGTTGAAAATTGGTTAGAAAAACACTTTGCCAAGTTGATCGTTTTTACTTACCTGTCCATAGTCCAATGTCTTTAGGAAGCTACAAGTTTAGCCCACCAGAAAGAGATAGTATGATATCTGGAGTATTCAGTTTGCTGCTTATATAGTGATTACCAGGGATCATTCGGTGTCCACAGGTAATGTTTTCTATAACTTCTGATTGTGTTCATTCTTTCTCATAAATCTGTATACCAAGGTGTTTTATTGCATGAAACTAAATGATACTAATTATCCAGTCTTTTTGTAACCCACTCAGTCCACGGAATATTAATAAAGACATAAAAATACAATGTCGTAATAATTTACCACTAGGTTGGATTATATCGTTTTAGGGTACCAATAAGGTGCTATTTCATACGTCATTTTAACAGCCAAGTCCTAATAATAATGAGGAACGTGACAATAATAAAACCTTTTACCAGTCTTGTTTTATTTCATCAACCATTATGCTGTAAAATATTTATACCCAACCACTAGTGGAATGTTATTGGAATGAGCTTACCTGCATGGGTAAAATAAAGATGCTACTCGAAACACGATTATCAATACAACAACACTAAAAGTTATGCGTTTAATACATCAATATGTAACGAAATCATTTCTCGAAAAACGAAACTAGTTTCTTTAGGATGAAGCCGCTGAATGTACGCTATGCAGATGTAAAGTCGCAGACTTGAAATTATTTGTCGCAAAACGTTATAAACTAAGTAAAGATAGACGTACTTCTCGAGAAACAGGATCTTTTGCTTCACTTTTTGAATCATCAGAACTCTCGATCTCAATATCAGGGATGTCTTTAAGGACTGAATTCAAAGTTGATTGGCCAGCCTCCTTTACAGCTTCTTTAAACATTGTTTGTTCGTGCACTAAGCGACGTTTGCGTTCTTGTTTATCAGCCTTAAGCTTTTCTCTTTTTTCTTGAAGAACTAAAATGTAAATAGATAAGTCATAAACCAAGGATATTTTTCGGTTTAAGTTGATACACATTAAAATAACAAAAGGGAGTCACGAGGATTAATATATTGGGTTTTTTGAAACATTTTACCATAGAAGCCATGGCTTAGTGGTCAAGGTGTTCGACTTCCAGCCACAGTTCATGGCTTGAACCATGTACCGCCTATTTCCGTTTGGGTGACCGGGTAGTATCATTAGCTCTCACATAGTGCGCCTCACACCCAAGGGCTCGTGAACGAGTTTATTTAATTCCTTGGTATTAATAGAAACGATGACTCAGAGGTCAAAATACTCAACCTTTAGAAATTAGTTTGATGATAAATAATGACGAAAAGTTTGTCGTCAGATTTACCTAACATATATATTTTCTTCAGTGGGTTTTAGTGAGCTACCCAGCACTACTAAACTATTTAAAACTAACAGGTTGGACACTGAAATTAACAACGGACGGTATCCTTCAGCTGTATCATTACGGCAGACGACACGTTGAACTGACGAAACATGATGTTAGTTCTATAGACTCCCGATTGTACATGAGATATGAAGGCACTAATTAAGAAACATTTATCTTCATGTCTTGTTATTTTTGCCCAACATTTATCAAGATAACGAAAGAATATTTAGAAACTACAATTTAGTTTTGCTCACTATATAGAATCTTAAACGCAACATCCGACTAATATGCCACGTTAGTGTAATTTAATTGACTAGTAAATCCTATGTTGAAAACATCGAGCTGACCAATTTTTACAAAATTTACTCATAAGCAGATAGATAATTTGTAAGAGCTTACTCCGGGCTTCTTCCATGAGTTCACGACGTTCTTGTAATTTCTCAGAAATTTTCCCGTTAATAAACTCAGTGAAAACAGGAATAAATGTGATGATAGCATATATCCATCTGACAATAGCGAACGGAAGCAAATCAAACCATCCGGGACCGGGAATCTTTTGAAGTTCGTCAGATATCTCTTGGTTTATTAGTTCCAACTTCCGATCACGAGCTTTGTGACGTTTTAGAGAAGTGCTAAGTTGATCTTCCTAAACAGTATGAACAGAAGTGAACTCTCATACCAAAGTAAGCCGCTTCTCAAAAACTGAGCCCCAAAGTGCAGCATAATGAATTACGGTAGCCATTCCGAAGAACAATCCAAATAGTTCGTAGTTAGACATTTTGCGGAGCTTCCTAAAGTAAAATACTGGGGTTCGCCAACTGGGCAAACCATTTATTAGCACTTCATCATATCTAAAAAGAATAAGGGGAAGTCCTCTGATATATTTACTTAGCACGTAATTCCGGATTCTTAAGGACTTCATAAATACCTACAAGCCTTCGGAACTTCTGCTCTGCAGTAGGATCATCTGGATTCTTGTCTGGATGAAGTTTAGAAGACAACTTTCGGTAAGCACGTTTTATTTCAGAAATATCAGCAGTCTACACGTATATCGTAATTAAATAAAATTCATATTTACCTGAGAAACTCCCAAAAAATCATAAAAGTTTTCCTTGACCTCTTCAACTAAATCAAACATTTGAAGTTCTCCAGAATCCCATGCGCTCACTTTTTCACACAATAAGGCGAGGCAGAAAATGTAGATTATCATCGTAGACGCTCACGATTACTTGTGACCGCCAACAAGTCGACTTTTAGTTTGTAGGTACTGAATCGTTAAAGGCGATGTGAGTTTGATAGTGACAGCTGACTTGGCGATATAATCTGGTAAAAAAGGAACAAACCGGTAAACATAGTGAGTAGAAGTCTAATAAAGTGATTTAATAATGTACAAGCTCATATCTAACCCATTATTGGTAATTGAAAATAAGAATCGAATTGTTTAAGCTTCAACTATGTTATATTCAGTCGTCAGTAAGGCTGCGCTTGGCTTTCAAATATGTGGTTATTACTGGAAGCGTGAAGGAAAAAAATGTATAAATTTGGCGGCGATAACATACTCAACTAATTAAAGGAAACATAGGACGACAGGGAATTAACTTGGTGTGTTACGAAGATAGGTATTTCGGTGGTAAGACTGAAGATCACTGAGGCAAATTTAGAAAGAGAACTTGTAACGTTCAGTGATCTGAATGACCTTTGTATTTACATATCAGTTAAAATGACAAAATGTGGATAAATGAATTTCACACAAAACCAACAGCCGGTACGTTGAATCTGATTGGTTTGTCCATAAATTGTAGTTCTTCTGAACATATTAGTCAGAGTTGTCAGGCAAAATATGCAATCACAATGTATTTTCACGATTTACAAGTACTGTGTGGTTCCTGATTATGTAGACACTCGATTACATACTTTATCCCCATCATAAAAATTTTTTGACATTTTAACAGGAAAGGAATTGGAGGGAGCATATCAACAAGTCAACTACCCTTGGTATAATACCGAAAAGAACGCTTAAATGATACTATCCAGAGAGAAGCCAACATAAATAATAGTCTACTACAGAAGTTAAAGAGCAAAATGAGATAATAAAGGTGAAACTTCAAACATTAAGGAACGAGCGGGAGTACTGTGTTTCCGTAAGAATTCTACCTTTGCAACGCCAAAAATATTTCGATGGAGTTTAGAGTGCTGCTGATTCGAGCGGAAAACAAATAAGCAAGGAATAATGAGTAAATATAAATCTAGAGCAATAAGGAGACATACGAACATCCTAACTGTCGAGACGCAAATGTCATCTCGTGTTCAATGCTCAACATCTTCGTGACTTCCTAGTATAAACAAGTTAAATCATATGCACTCGCTTCTCAATGTCTAGGTAAGGTTTCAGGTTATTGTTATGTACAACCTTGCAGATAATCCAGTATAAGCCCATTTTTTACGATAGGATCTTGGAGTTAGGAACCTACCGCCTATCTTTGGTAGCTTTGAATGATGGTTCCTAAGCCCTTGATTTGAAATGTGTTCGTTTTCCGATGTTTTACAACACTTAGTTTTTATGTGCCTCTGTTGTCTAGTGAAAAGGTAACAGGAAAAATTAGATGTTAACAATACAGCCAGTCATACAGTAATGCACAATTGGCTCCTACTGAACCTGAAAAGCATCGGAATCCCCAGACAACTACTTATGTAGATTGGAGACTTTCTAGTTAGTCACTGACAGAGTATGAATTAATTGTTAATCCCTCTTTTGAAAACTCGTATTTGGTGGAGTACCTCACGGTTGAGTACTAGGCCTATTGCTTTTTATACTTCAAGTCAAGTAACTTCCACACTTTGATATGATCCTGATCTCTGAGCTGGATGATTCAATCGTGGGAAAATACGTAACCGAGTATCAGATTAAAAGGAGAGGAGGTAACAAATAAAGACAATGACGGACCTAAGATTGGTGATAAAAAACTAAGACCGGAGTTAACAAGACAAGCTGCCAGTCACGTGTGGAGAGATTCAAATGCTGTACACCTACCTGAAGAATGTGCTGTTAGTATTGGTTTCAGAGGTCGACTACTATGGAGCCACAGGGATGAGTTCCTGTGCCGGAGGCACTATGATTTTAGAACTTCTGAACCTATATCTGACCTTGATAAGTTTTTGATTCATGTAAAAGAACAGTATCCCCTTTAATTTTTGAGTTTTGTATAATATATTTTTATTGTATGCCAACTGTCTTCTGATTGGCCAATATTTCTCAAGGTCATTTAATATTCGTTCAAAGGTCGTCCATGTTCTTTAGTCTCGCCGACTTAACTTGAAAATCATTTTCGTTTTTTTAAAACTGTCTCCACAATGTCACACATTCCATATATTTTCAAATCCACAAAATTCCAGACTAATAACTAGAAAGTATGACGATAGGTAGTAGAAAGTGGCGGTGAACTTGCACTCTAGGTCTACTGCCCATAGTCATGATTAAGGCTCATCGATGAGGATAATTGTATCCCCCTGCATGTTGAAATGAAAATGTAGTGAATATTAAATAAGAGGAACTCTCTTGCTTATAGTTCATATTGATGACTAGCAGATCGCAAAAAGTCACGATCTAAAGATCAGAACTTACCGCCCAAGGTCACGGTAAAAACGTAAAACCCACCCAAAGTTCCCCGCCGTTACGTCCTAATGACCTTGAAAGGGGTAGTATGCGATTGTCATTTCATATTTGAATTTCAGTCGGCTTGTTGAGTGTACTTTGGATTTTATGGATTTTTGATGTTCTCACACCTAAGTAATCTATTTCTGCTATAAAACCACAAAATATTTGCATAGAATATTAACTGATCTGTCTCTCCGTCGTAGCCTCAACTTCGCTCCAACATCGTGCGCGCTATTCAACGTTATCACACTAACGAAGTTTAACTTCCAGCGGAATAACGTTCGTATTTGCATTCATGTAGTCAATAGATTCATCATGTTAGTACGTAAATTTTATTAGAAAATCAGATAACGTTGTGAACTTTGCTGACTGCAATATTTTTACCTTGTCAGACTGTGTTACAGAGGGCAGTTGCAATACATGCTGAAATGATATCCTTAGTTGTAGAAAGCCTAATTGTAGTCGTTTAATTTTGAAAGCAGACCATCATTATATAGTGGAGAAGGGTTCGGAGCTAAGTTAAGTCCTGGTAGTTGTACTGTAAACCATGTTTTGAAGCTCAAACGACTGTAGTTCTCTGTCTTAGAACATTATCGTTTGTTGTGCTTCAGGTGACCTTTATTGTCTTGCACTTTGTTCTTTGACTTTATGGGCTTGATTATCTATAGTAAGCTATTCGAAGTAACATGTCCTTTCAAATGAAACAATATTTACGACATGTACCAATAAATAATTTCCCAAATTAAATAGTTCTATAAGTTCTAGACATTGATGCTGACCTCATTAGCTTCACTGCACACAACCTAGCTGAAGGCAACCGGCTACGCATCCGTCTTTCATCAATATCGAGTGTATACGCCGTGCTACGTATCCCTTGGAAGTACTAGTCAGCTTGGACCAAGCTCTTCTCAGCTTCAAAATATATGTTTAGTACAACTGGTTTTCGCGTAATTCAGTTAGGTCATAATGACAGTGTTAGAAAGAAGTTGTGAAAAATTAGAGTGTAGCAACTAGAGTTGTTTAATTTTTCACGTGGCAGCAACACTGATCTTAGATGAAAACTAATTATTCTGTCGTCTGATAGTCACTGGAAAACACTTGGGAAGAAACGTAAATATTCCGGAAGAAATGGACTTATCGGAGTATTAGTAGTAGTTGGTATAACAACATTGTAACGATCATCAAACCACGCTAGGCAGTACAGGAAAGTATTCCACATAAATAAAATGGCGGAGCCGAAAAACGTGGTGGACACATAACTTCTTCATGCCTTTGCCATCTCATAAATTCAATTAACATCAGAGGTGTAATATAGTGAGGCAAATTTGTTTAGTCTTTCACTTTGTGGGGTCGACAGAGTATACTGTAGGGGTGACGGGATAGTCCTGTGCAGAAAAAGCTGCTTAGCCATACGATATGTCAAGAAAATGTCACACGATTCAGAAACACGTGAACTGGTGCACTCTCGGTGGTTTGGTGTTCCAACTGATGAAGCCTACGAGGGAGACCTATCTGTTTTTTGTAGGCAAAAGTTTCCTCTGTGCGTCATGCATACACTTTGGGTACAACAATATACCTGAACTACATATGTTCGAGAACTTACTCAATTCATATACATAATCTTACACATCGGGTAGCTCGAGCTGTAAAGTAAGCCCTGAGTATAAGACCCAGGATGATCAGATGCAACAGATTGGGTGATCGGTTAAATCTATGTGGCCGTGTAAGTTTGCCAGCAGGGCTGTCTTCACTGTTCAGAAGCGCCACGGGAAGGCTTTATGTAGGACTTTGCTGCCTTTTACAACGAATCTCCTCATAGCACGAGTGAAGTACACAAATTCTCTAGATAATGGGAAATCAGTGGGTGCTGTTAACATAGACCAGTAAAGCATTTGGTAAGGTGCCGAATAATGAACTCCAAGTCACTACTTAATGAATCACTGCAATGCTCTGTCCTAGTTAGTTTACGTTTTATACTGTAAATTAACTCCCAAATATGGTTGATGATGTATAAATCAGGTATTAATCACAGGCTCAATCGCGACACTAATGTGATGATTTAAAGTATTTGAATTGTAGTATTAGACGAGTACGAACGAATGTACTGTATTTGGAATTCAAAACCAAAACAGTCACCAATACAAAGAAATCATTGATTCATATAAGCACTACACAAATTCAAGGTGTTACACCCAGAAATTGAATATACAACATAGCAGAATGGATTGCAGTGCCAACATTTACTGTTTATGAGTTATCGAACCCTGGAATTCGCTGTCAGCCTTTGTGGCCCAAGCGACAGTAATTAACGGACTAGGGATAACTCAAGAATGGTATGTCGTATAATAATAGTTCATAGGTCAAAATAAAGCTTAGAATAAGAGGAATACGAATACAAACAGTTTAGTTACTTAACAATTATACGATACGAAATATACATATCATATCGGTCCAAAAATAGTTCTCGAAGTTAACATTCATATAACATTGGGGACTCAGGCCAGTAACTCACTGTGATTTATTAATATTTCTTTTATCTACTCGTTCCAAATACCTAGTTCCCTATCTTGAGACATCGGAGTTCCACTGCTACCAGACAAAAGAGCCAGTTAACCGAAAGCTTCTATTCCGTCCAGAACCATATGAATCAACATCCTTCAGCGTGATAGATCTTAGATAACAAACCAATTTTTGTTTCAAAAGTCTGACAATTCTCCATACCTAACCTGAAAACAGCTTATGTTTTATGTTTATGTTGTTGCTAACAATTAAATTAAAGCAGACTTAACACTCGCCGAAATAGAGTATCAAATCTATTTAAAAATACTACTCACTGGGTTAAAAGCCATGTAAAAAGCACAAAAACTGACTTCAGATGGCAAAAACTGTCCACATTCCAGAAATAAGGACATCCAGAATGCTGAATAAGACAACTTGTGAGCAAGAACCCATAGCTTCATATTTTTCATTTCCTAGAGATTTTAAAACATTATGTGTTAAGAATTTCTACCGAATTTGGAGGTCCCAAATGCGACAGATTCCCTGTAATTGACGGTGATATCTTAATTAAGTAATTCACAGATGACATACAGTCCTTATGTACCACTTTGTTTTGAAGACTCACTAGTGGGATCACTTCTTTAGGATGGCCAAAAACAATTAAAATATTACTAAACTTAGCGAGCGCCAGCACCTTTGCTCAAGAGACTTACTTCGGTTCTTCTGGAAAAGTAAATAAAAATATTTTGATATTAAAGGCCTCTTGGAGCAGTTCCAGAGGGTATACGCCTAATTATCAACATACCTTAGGTTATTATAGCGCTCACAGAGTAATTTCCGCTCGTGTTTAAATTTTCAAGTTATTAAAATACTCAGGTGACCCTAATGATGTGACATCAATGCGATAGTTAAGGATAAAAGTGTAAAGATTAGAGTTTGGATATTTGATTTGAGCTCAGATGATCCAATAAAACAAAACCATTTATAACAGACCGAACTACGTTCTTCTGCATGGCGTACAAAGTCTTTTTATAACTCACGTGTAATAAATAAGATTAAAATGCAATAGTCCTGACTAATTAAAATGGTTTTTGTGAGAGGATTAACAAACATAATATATCAAAAATATTAGATACTTATGATGATTAGAAGTAGTAGAATTAAAGTAATCGTGTAGTGCCGCGATTCGTTAACCGTTTACTTCGATAACCGTTATAATTCTAAACTTAACGGTGCGTAAAATCAGAAGACAAAGGATAGCAGCAACTACAGTTTATTGTCGAATGACTCAGGTTCGAAAGCTAACAACACCTGAGCGAATATGAACGAGCGAGTGAACAGGCAAACAAGCGAAGGAAACGAACGAGGAGCAAGCGAGCGAGCAAATAGCAAGCAATTACATAGGCAATTTATAGTCAAATTTAATAAGGGCACAGCAAAGCAAAACAAAGGCTGATAATAATATTTGCGTGCGTACATATATGGGTAGGAGTATGAGTCATCGAATGATATTTAAGCAGTCAACATTTCGGCTAGAGTGTCATGTGCTCTAGTGTTATTGCAGTGCAAAGAATATGCAAATTGTTACTATCCAAATGACAATGTCTGTTAAGTAAGTTATAAAAAAGGGCTTAACCAAAATTGGCTATAATCGAAATTGATTGTAGGATGGTTGCTATATTACTCCCCCCTGCAAACAAAGATATATGGAAAAATGTCTGTGTTTGCATAATGTACAGTAAATTGGATAGCGTAGTTACAATCATTTGAAGATATGGGCCTGTATAAAATTAGAATGAAGTTAGTGTGTATTTAGTTCGTGCCCGTCCGTTAGGCTATACAAAATAGCTGTAAGAAATAGAAGGGATATGGTATCGCTTCGAAAAAAAAACTACACGTATGAGCATAAGGGTGTACATAAGC